TAAAAAAAAAAATCTTTCTGACCTAACTTCCTGCTGCAGCTAGCACTCTCTTGTTGTTCCCCTTTATGTCAAATCTCATAACCATACACCATGTCTCCAGTACCTCTTTTTGTGGTCTTCCTTAAATCCATCCCACAAGGCTTTAGATTCCAACAAAACTATTTTTGTTGAGGCCACTAAATTTGCTAAAATCAGTGGTGACTTGTTAAACTTTCTTAATCTACATTAGTCAGCAACATTCCCTTCCTCAAGAACCCCTTTATTCTCTCAGCTTCCAGGTTACTATCTGCTTATGGTGTTCCTTCTACTTCTTTGAGTGCCCCTTCTAACTCTTTTGTTGGTTCCTCCTCATCTAAAGACCCCATACCCATTTCTTGCACTGCCTCTTTATCTACCTCACAGCCATTGCCAATCTTCAAATTTCAAGGTGATTCCCAAAGGTATTCACCCAGGCCAGCCCTCGCCTTAGACTCTAGTCTGCTGTGTATGTGACAGCTACATCATGTGTTTAATAGACAACACACCTTAACACTCAAAATAGAAGTCTGGAGTTCCCCCCACAAACCTCCCAGCTCACTCTTCCAGCTTTCAGTTAAAGGAAACTCCCACCCATTCAGGTACAGGAGTCAGAGACCGGGGAGTCATTCTTGCTTCCTTTTGTTCTCTCACATCCCAATTTAAAAGCCAATGTCAAAATTACATTGTTTCAACCTTTAAAATACATTCAGGGCCTCCCCAGTGACCCAAGGGGTTAAGGCACAACCTATGAAGCAGTCTGCAGCCACTGCAGCACAAGTTTGATCCCCCGGCTGGCCAGGGAGCAGCCCACATAGCGCAGCAGACCTCTCCTGACTCACCCGCTGCTCCCCTCAGCAGTGTATTTCAGTCTATCTGCCTGTTCTGTTCCCCACTCTGTCTCTGGTGAATCCTCTCACCATCTGCACCTCTGGCCTGCGCCCCAGTTCTTGTACACATAAATAAATCTTTTTAAAAAAATAAAATAAGGGCCTCCCTGGTGGCGCAGGTGGTTGAGCTCAGCGCTGTGAAGTTGTCCACAGCCTCTGCAGTGCCGGTTCAATCCCTGCCAGCCGCGGAGCAACCCTCATGGCATGGCAGACCTCTCCTGTCTGGCCCGCTGCTCCCCTCAGCAGTGTATTTTGGTCATTCTGCCTGTTCTGTTCCCCGCTCTGTCTCTGGTGAATCCTCTCACCCTCCCACACATCTGGCCTGCACCCCAGTTCTTGTATAAATAAAATAAAAATAAATCTTTAGAAAATAAAATAAAATACATTCAGACTCCAACCTTTTTTCACCTCCTCCAGTTGCTACACTCCTGTTGTCAGACATCATCATGTCTCCCCTGAGTCACTCCTGTAACCTCCTCACTGGCCTCTTGCTTCCGAACTTGCCCCTACTTAGTCTCTTCTCAACAGCGATCTGAGTAAATTAAGTCACATCATTTTACTCAGCCTTCTCATCCTGTTTAGAGGAAAAGCCCTGCTTTCACCCTGCTGAGTCCTGTGGCCTGCAAAACCAATCAGCTTCTTGTTTTGCCTATCTGTACATCTTTTTTTTTTTTTTAACTTTCACGCTCATGATTGTAATTTTCAATAGCTTTGTTTTGTTTTCTATTCTTTTTTTTTTTTTTGATTTATTTTTATACAAGAGCTGGGGTACAGGCCAGAGGAATGGGAGGGTGAGAGGATTCACCAGAGACAGAGAGGGGAGCAGAACAGGCAGACAACCGAAATACACTGCTGAGGGGAGCAGCAGGCGCAACAGGTGAGGTCTGCCGCGCCATGTGGGAATCTCCCTGGCAGGCGGAGAATCGAACCCATGTTGCAGAGACTGAGGACAGCTTCACAGCGCTGTGCTCAACCACCTGCGCCACTGGGGAAGCCTTGTTCTCTATTCTTTTTGTTGTTTAATAGCATCTATAAAATTTTGAAGTAATGTAGTGATTTTTTTTAAAGATTTTTGTCCGATCATACTGTCTTTTGGACTCCTTTGTGTGTGTGTGCTTTTGTTCACTGTCTCAAGGGATAAGAAATCCTTTCATTGTCTGTTCCTATTGCAGAGTTATGCACTAAAACTGATTTTATAAGTTTTCATATGCATGCATAGGGACTTGTATATTGAGGGCTTCATTTTAGGCTTTTGAGGCAGAGACCAGACAATTTCACTGGGACCAACAGCTGCCATTGTCTGAACGCCTTTTCCTGTAAGTTGATCAATTTTCCCCAGAGGAGAGGAATACCTCTCATTCTTTCTAGGATAGGGTGGGTTGGGGGCGAGGGCAGGGTTATATGTCTGATTACAAGCAGAGGGGAGGGAATGTGGGTCTCATTGTTCAGTATGTAGATTCTTGGTCTAGGACCCCCTCTAGAACTTCCCTGGTATTCTAGAGCCTCATGAGCCTCTGGCTCATCCTTTCCAGAGATAAATCTGAGTCTTTGCTTCGGTGAATACAGTGTCTGCTACCTTGCTGTTTCTTGTAAACCTGTATTTTCATCTCCAGGGCTCCCCCATCCTGATGCTTCTCATTCCTGTGCCTTTCTGGAACACTCCATCTGGTGCCCCCAGTTGGTTGGTTCTTCAGTCCCCCATCACAGGACACTTAGTTCTCAGTTGCTACTCCCCTGCCTGCTTTCCAGCGTCTAAATTTGTTGACATCTCTTGTCCATCATCTTTGTTCCTTTTCTCTTGTCTTTGTGGGTATATACCTTTTGAAATGTGTTTATTATTTTAAGTGGGATTTGTGAAAGGAAAGCTAGATGGATGTGTTCATTCTAAAGTGCAAGATGGAAGTGGTTCTTTTTCATTAACTTTTTTAAAGACTTATTTACTTATGCATACAAGAACAGGTACAGGCCAGAGGAGTGGGGGGTGAGAGAAGTCACTAGAGACAGAGTGGAGAACAGAACAGGCAGATTGACTGAAATACACTGCTGAGAGGAGCAGTGGGTGAGTCAGGAGAGGTCTGCTGCGCCATGTGGGTAGCTCCCTCGCCGGGGATCAAACGCTTGCTGCAATGGCTGCAGACAACTTCATAGATTACGTCTTAACCCCTTGCGCCATCAGGGAGGCCCTTCATTAACTTTTTTTTTTTTTTTAAAGATTTATTTATACAAGCATTGGATACCGTCAGAAGTTGCGGGAGGGTGAGAGAATTCACCAGAGCTAGAGCGGGGAGCAGAGCAGGCAGAAGGACCGAAGCAACGGGCGGCAGGAGAGGTCTGCGCGCCATGCGGGACCCTCCTCCAGTGGCCGGGGAGCAGCCGGGGATGGAACCGGCACTGCAGAGGCCGCGGGCAGCTTTTCAACCCAGCGCTCAACTGCTGCGCCACCAGGGAGGCCCCTTCATTAACATTTTTTAAAATTATGAACAAAACTGTCAATTTTTTTTCACATTACAGAAATGTGTAATGTAGGAAACACTAGTCTCCTATATTCCCTCCCTGAGAGAGCCCTTGGTGTTGGTTGGTTCTCTGGTGATCTTTTTGTACTTTCACTGTGTATAATATAATCATTTGTATATGTATATACATATGCATATGCGCGTCTATATATGCAAATATGTATGTATGTGCTTACATTTTGTATGTGTTTATAAATAATATATAGATAAGTGCTTGGGTATATTAATTCCAACATATAGGTTCTGGAAGTGAGGTAACTGTTTTTCACTTAACTTTTTGGAGCATCTCTATACCTCATTTTCCTTAGCTCTGCTTCATGCATAAAAAACAACTACATAGCATTAGTTGAATTTAACCTTCCCTCTTTTGATGGGCTTTTTTTGGTGTTTCATCTTTTTTTAAAAAAAATTATGAAACGTGAGAAAACCTTTCCTATGTATATTTTTGAAGACCAGGTTTTTTTTTTTTTTTTTCCTTTTTTTTTTTTTTTAATGTACAGCCTTCAGGTAAGGGAAGGGGCGGCCCCGAGACTGAAGACCAGGTTTTAAACACTGAATGGGTACAGAGGAGGGATGCGTTAGTAACCTGCAGAACCATGAAAAGAAATTCAAAGAGACTGATAGGACCAGCGTCTTGAGTTATCAGTCACCTTGATGGGGTCTTGTTAACGCAGTCTGTCACTGCTCTTCTATTTTCTTGTTGCCTTCCCCCCCCTTTTTATTTGCTCTTGTTTTCTTTTACTGTTGTTACAGTCTTCACAGCCAGATTTCAGTTAAACTAATGTGCTTTGTTTCTGTTAAGTACTAGGAATTCCATTAGGGGGTTGCTTATTTTATAATTTTCAACTTCCTATGTATGTAAGTGAAAGTGTAGCTGTTACTTTTTACTAATCACAAATAAGTTTTAGGGCCTCACTGGTGGCGCAAGGGGTTAAGATGCAACCTAGAAAGCTCTCTGCAGCCACTGCAGCACGAGTTCAAGCCCCAGCCAGGGAGCTACCCACATGGCACAGCAGACTCGCCTGCTGCTCCCCTCAGCAGTGTATTTCAGTCAATCTGCCTGTTCTGTTCCCCACTCTGTCTCTGGTGACTTCTCTCACGCTCCCCCCACCTCTGGCCTGTACCCCAGTGCTTGTATGCATAAATAAATAAATCTTAAAAAAAATAAGTTTTAGTCTGGTGAATGAAAAAACTTGGAAATGATTATTCTCAACTTACGGTATGTGAAAAGTAAGATTTTTATTTTATTTTAACATCTTTAATTGGTAATATCTGTAGTATAACATTTTTGAACATCATTTCTAGTTTACCTGTTTCTAAGATTTTTGACCTAAAAAACTCTTATTTGATGTTACCAAACAATGGACCATGCTTTTCTATGAGAAAGCAATGCAGTATGAAGCTATCACTTGGTAACAGCAGTGCTAATATCATCATGTACCTCTGATTATTTTCATTGCCCTAGGTTTTACTATGAACAGAGAATGCTACGGAAAGTTTTTGAAGAATGGAAGGAAGAGTGGTGGGTTTCCCATCAGGAATGGAAGCTCTGCGTTAGAGCTGACTGTCATTACAGGTCAACTTTCATGTTGTATTTTTTCAATTTTACAGATCCCTATTATCAAATAACTACTTGTTGGCAAGTTTCAAGTTAATTTACATTGATTGGGGGAGAAAGTATATGCCCAGCATGTGTATGTTTCTATAAATGTATAGGTATATGTAAAGAAAGTAGAAATGAAAGGAAAGAAAACTTAATCCTTGACATTAGAATTTGTAGGGACAAGTAGAGGGAAAATTGGGAATTATATCAATATGCATTTTTAGACTATTTTTAAAAAGATAGACACTTTGCGTCTTTAAAATGGATTTATCTCTCAGTCATCTTAGTTTCCTTTTTTTTTTTTTTAATTTTTTAAGATTTGTTTATTTATACAAGCACTGGGTGCAGTCAGAAGCGCGGGAGGGTGAGAAAATTCGCCAGAGCCAGAGCACGGAACAGAACAGGCAGACTGACAAAATACACTGCTGAGGGGAGCAGTGGGCGTGTCAGGAGAGGTCTGTGGTGCCATGTGGGACCCTTGCCGGTGGCCGGGAATCGAACCAGTGCTGCAGAGGCTGTGGGCAGCTTCGCAGCCCAACCCTCAACCACTGCACCACCACAGGATGCCCCATTTTAGGTTCTTTAGGTAGGTTTTCTGATTTTATGGATATTCAGATAAAATACATATTGAATAGTTCTAATAAGCTGATAGTGTGAAATCAAGTCATAGGAGTGGGTAGTAAAAATATGGAGGGACTTGGGGTCTTAGTGTGTATAGTGTGTGTATCAAGAAGGAATAGACAAAGGAAGAGATATCACTGTGTTTTAGTGCAAAGGAGCAGTGTGTGGCATTATATATTGTGGATGATTAAGATATGACTGTCATTCCAGAAGTTATTCTTGGAGAAGTCAAGCTTTTTTTCCTCTGTAATGCCAAAAGATGTGGAGGAGATTAGGTTTCACCATGATTATCAGAGAGAAAATTTTAACTTAGGATGTAGATATGACTTTTTTGTGTCAGAACATGTTAGTTTTGCCTCCGTATAGAGCAAACTGGGTGTGTAGGATTAGAAGTTGTTCTGTTTTAAAGAAATGCCATTTGTTTTTTGGCTTCTCAGATATTACTTGTACAACCTGATGTTTCAAGCCTGGAAGTCTTATGTGCATGAGCAGCACAAGATGAGAAACAAATACTTGAGAGCTGAGAATCATGGTGAGAAAAAGAAGTACATGTCTAAAGAAATTGCCCATATTAACTTTATTTCTTTATTAAGGCTTATTTATTTTTAAAAAACTTTTTTTTTAAAGATTTACTTATTTTTATACAAGAACCGGGGTACAGGTCAGATGTGCGGGAGGGTAAGAGGATTCACCATAGACAATAGGGAACAGAACAGGTAGACTGACCGAAATACACTGCTGAGGGGAGCAGCAGGTGAGACAGGAGAGGCCTGCCGCGCCATGTGCTTTGCTCCATGGCTGGTGGCGATTCAACCGGCACTGCAGAGGCTGCGGACAGCTTCACAGCGCTGGACTCAACCGCCTGCGCCACCAGGGAGGCCCTTTTCTGGTCCTTTTTATTCTATTTCACAAACAAATACAAACACATATAGGTAGTATCCTTTTCTTTTGCTTATTCTAGAGTTTTCCCTCAGTGTCTGTGGGGGCTCTTGATACCAGGATCCCTCCACAGATACCAAAACTGTCATGCTTATGTTGCATTTATAAAATGGCATAGTTTTTGCATATAACTCACATTCCTCCTGTATATTTTAAATCATCTCTAGATTACTTACACTAGCCAGTACAATGTAAATGTTATGAAACAGTTGTTATGCTATATTGTTTAGGAAATAATAACAAGGGGAAAATGTCTGCCCCATAAATACACAATTATCATAGATCTGATCACAAAGTGTGTATCTTTGATTTGTGTTTGATTGAATCTGCAGTGGCAGAACCCACCAGTAGGAGGTGCCAACTGTACTTTACAATCTGTTTCAAGTTGCAAATTTTATAACATTTCTTCTGTAACTTTATATTATGGAAATTAAATTTTTAAAAAAATCCTACAGCATTAAAGGAATCATGATCCTTCATGTATTCCTCACCTAGCTTCAGCAATTACCAATCACACCAGTCTTGTTATAGCTGCATCTCCCAACTTCCCTGCCTCCTGCATTATTTACATTATTTCATCTGTAAATATTGCAGAATACATCTCTAAAAAATTAAGAACTTTTAAAATAAAGAAATTCTGAACCATGCAGTACAGTGATTATCCTTTAAATGATTTGCAAATGTCCTCACTTTTGTAATCATTCTTCACATATTCTTGCATCCTTTTTTTTTTTTTTTTAAAGATTATTTATTTATGCAAGCACTGGGTATAGTCAGAAGCGCGGGAGGGTGAGAGAATTCACCAGAGCCAGAGTGAGGAACAGAACAGGCAGACTGACAAAATACACTGCTGAGAGGAGCAGCGGGTGCAGCAGGAGAGGTCTGTCGCACCATGTGGGGCCCTCTCCAGGGGCCGGGGATCGAACCAGCACTGCAGAGGCTGCTGGCAGCTTCGCAGCCCAGCACTCAACCATTGTGCCACCAGGGGATGCCCTGCATCCTTATTTTTGCATAGCTTCACAATGTTTCCAGCAGGGGCCACTTGAAGGCTAGAGGAAGTTAGATATTCTAAGGAGGGATGAGTACAGAGAAGCTTTGAGCTTTTGTCACAACCCAGAGTAATACGTCTCCCCCCCACCCCATTTTGAAAATCTCTTTGGTGCATCTAGATGTAAAGCAAAAGATGCGGCGGGCCTGGAAGTCTTGGTTGATATACGTGGTTTTTCGTAGGACCAAACGTCAGATGCAGACCACTGCCCTGGGATTTAGGCAGCGGAGTATTATATGGTGAGTGTGCTCAATGGTTCTACACATCATCATTTTACCTCAGCTTTGCTTGATACTGCTGGAAAGCAGCAAAATAATTCACCTTAAAACAATGTTTCAAACATAAATACTTAGTTACAACTTGTTCAACTATAAGATCTGGTTTTCACATTGTCATAATTAATGAACATCCTTACTATGTACTAAACCCTATGTTAAATTTGTGTGTGTGCTAATTTAATGTAAGTGTCTTATGTAGTCCTTACCACAAATTATGAAATAAGTACTGTTGTAGTGATTAAGAAAGACAGTAAGTCTCAGAAAATTTGAGCAGCTTGCCTAAGCTCATGTAAGTTGTAAAGGTAAAATCAAAGCTCAAGTGCCCATCTTTCTCATACCAAAGCCCGCACTATGAACTGCTGCCTGCACTGCATCTCATCAGCATTGTCCACACTTTGGAGGGTCATGAAAGCCAGAGTTTCCATATAATGGGGCTCGTTCCACTGTACATTGTGCATTGTGTCTGACAGTCCCCTAGTGGTTTTTTTTTTAAGTTTTTTTTTTTAATTTTAATTTTTTTTAAAGATTTATTTATTTATGCACACAAGAACTGGGGAACAGGCCAGAGGTGCGGGAGGATGAGAAGATTCACCAGAGACAGAGTGGGGAACAGAACAGGCAAATTGACTGAAATACACTGCTGGAGGGAGCAGCGAGCGAGTCAGGAGAGATCTGCTGCGCCATGTGGGTAGGTCCCTGGCCAGGTGATCGAACTCGTGCTGCAGTGGCTGCGGATAGCATCATAGGTTGCGTCTTAACCCCTTGTGCCACCAGGGAGGCCCTGGGGGTAGCTCTTATCAGAAATGCGGTATCTGTGAAACACAGTGGAATGAAGTATGCTTGTCATATCTGTGTTTAGTACAGTATGCAGAATATCAGTAGACATGAAGTTGTTTAAAATAAAAACTTTCTTGGGTTATTTCAAATTTATTCAGCAAATATTTTTAAATGCTTAATAAGTATGCAGTTTTAGAGTCTATGGGAAATATTTTATTTATTCAGTGTATAGTTATTAAGGACTTGAAATGTTGCTGGTACTATTTGGGGAACTCGTAATTCCTTAAGTGCTTAAAAGGATAAGTAATAATGCTAGATATTTTGAAATAAATGATGCCATTAGTACGATCAAGGTTAGGAGGAAAGAGAGATTATAAATACAGTGACCAGGCAATGTGAATGTTTCCATAAAGTGGAGGCTGCAAACTCTCCTTTGCTCATTACTGTTTTCCTTCAGAAAATTAGAAAATAAGAGAAAGAAACAAAGCCTGGAATAAAAACATGGACAGGAGGGGGCCTCCCTGGTGGTGCAAGGAGTTAAGACACAGCACTATGAAGCTATCCACAGCCACTGCAGCACAAGTTTGATCCCTGGCCAGGGAGCAACACACATGGTGCAGCAGACCTCTCCTGTCTTGCCCATTGCTCCCCTCAGCAATGTATTTCAGTCAATCCGCCAGTTCTGTTCCCTACTCTGTCTCTGGTGACTCCTCTCACCCCCGATACCTCTGGTCTGTACCCCAGTTCTAGTATGCAGAAATAAATCTTAAAAAAAAAAAAAAGAAAACATGGACAGCAAAGTAAGAAGGAAAGGGAACCTTCAAATTCTAAACCTAATAGTTACTGTTTTTGCACAGTTTTGTGAAATCTCCTGATTTTTAAGTGTTGGCAATAATTTGTAAGAAAACAAACAGCGACTACAGACAGAGGCATGTCTGTAGTGTCTAAGACTGGGTCTGGCCTTAGGAGCCACCAGTTTCCAACCTTTAACTGGCAGCTGTAGGACTCTTTCTCAGTTGGTTTCTTTGGCAGTGACTCTAGCAGATACCAATCTAGAGTTGATATCATGAGGGAGAGGGATGAGAACTGAATGCCTGAGGCCCAGCCCTCACTGCCCTTTTCTTTTCTGGGTGGCTTTTATCTGACTAGTTTCATCTTCAATTTGTTCTTTAACAGGGTGTGTTGGAGAGCGTGGAAGCGGGGATTGGAACAGGTCTGCATGGGCCATGCTCTCCATGCCTTGGCTGTGAAGCACAGGGCCCTGAGCCTCCAGCTGCAGGTCAGTCCAGCAGACCCAATTTTGATTTCCTCTGTATATGTTGTCTAGCCCCACACCCACAAAAGGTGGGATCAGATTCCCAAGCAGAAGACTAGTCATCATGCTGCTGCCTCTCGTTGGGCCCTTCCTGTAGCTCAGGAACCTAAATGGGGTGGAGGACAGACCCTGCCTAAAAGGCTAGGCTCTTCAACAGACAGAGACTACTTTTAGGAATATGCTAGATGTGACAACCAGTGGTTTTTAGAGAACTTCTGCTAATGTGGAACTGGAAAGGGACTTAGGAATTAGTTTTTTTTTTTTTTTTTAAAGATTTATTTATTTATTTATTTATTTATTTATTTATTTATTTATTTATTTATTTATACAAGCACTGGGTACAGTCAGAAGCACGGGAGGGTGAGAGAATTCACCAGAGCAGGGAACAGAACAGGCAAACTGACAAAATACACTGCTGAGGGGAGCAACGGGCACGGCAGGAGAGGTCTGTCGCGCCATGTGGGACCCTCACCAGTGGCTGGGAATCAAACCGGTGCTGCAGAGGCTGCGGGCAGCTTCGCAGCCGAGCACTCAACTGCTGCGCCACCAGGGGAGGCCCAGGAATTAGTTTTACACATGCCTAAAGGAATAGTATATATTCTTACCTCCTCATTACTATTTACCTACAGCATATTGGGAAATAAAAAGAGCAGAAAAGAAACGGACTTAAAACAAAACCTGACTTTTTTTTCATATAGCTTTGCTTGTCTTAGAGGGTTTTTTTTGGGAAGCCACTAGCTTTTGGTGAGTTTTAAGACCTAACCTCTGTACCAAAACTGTGCTATGGTAAAACTTTCTGATGTCCTTTGATAGACTCTCTGAATTTCTGTCACATTTTTGTTTTTGCTGTGTACTTGTAGGACTGTGTTCGTGAATAAAATGTTCAGTTATAGTGAATAAAACAGGGAAGAGAGAAAAAGAAGAGCCTGTTAAAAAGTATAGGAGTAATATCTTTGTAATCTAACATCATTTCGCATTGGCCACATAAGTATAAGCAATATGTGCAGATGACATGCAAATTGCATATCTAATCATATACACCAGGGGTCAACAAACTGGCCCCCAGGTCAAATTAGGCCTACTACCTCTTGTTACACGTATTCATTCAGGTATTGTCTAAGTCTGCTTTCTGGTTGCTAGGGCGGGGTTGAGGAGTTGCAGTAGAAACTACATGGCCTGCAAAGCCTAAAATATTCATCTGACCCTTTAAGGAAAAAATTTACTGACCTTTAAACTCAGAAGGTCTTCTCAGACAAAAGCAAGGAATTGAGACATACAGTTCTTGCCAGTAATAATAACCGTAATGAGAATAACAGTGGCGGCGGCAACAATAGCATTTACTGTGGTCTTCCTTGTGCAAGGTGCTGGATGAGGGGCTTGGCATAAATTATCTGAATTAATTTTCATAGTTCTTTTTTTTTAATTCCATATTTTTGCAGAAAATAGGGTGTGTCAGAGCCAGAATTTAAACCCATTCTGAAAACTGCAGAACTGTTATTTTTTTCAAGATTTATTTAATTATGCATGCAAGAACTAGGGTCCAGGCCAGAGGTACGGGGTGGGGCAGGGTTGAGATGATTCACCAGAGACAGAGTGGGGAACAGAACAGGCGTATTGACTGAAATACACTGCTGAGGGGAGCAGCGGGTGAGTCAGGAGAGGTCTGCTGCACCATGTGGGTTGCTCCCTGACCGGGCATTGAACTCGTGCTACAGTGGCTACAGTTAGCTTCATAGGTTGTGTCTTAACCCCTGCGCCACCAGGGAGGCCCTGAAGAGCCGTTCTTTTAATCAGCATCCTACATTGTCCTGAGTTAGACCTAACTCAGTGGAGAGATAGAAAAAATGCCATAAACACAGAAACATGATACTGATTTTCTCTCGCCCTTGGGCTTACAACTGTGAATGTTCTTGCTGCACACAGCCAGTTTGAAGCAGTCTAGTGATGCTGCTGTTGTGTGCAACACTTTCAGAATTGCCCTTTTACTGTTGTCTTCAAAGCTTGCAGCTTGCAATAGCAGATTTAATTAAGCACTTTTAAGGGTAGCAATTTTTCAGTTTGACATTGAATTTCACTTATAAAATTAGTCAAAAGTCATGAATAAAATCCAATGAAAAATATGAGTAACCAAGATAATAATGATATGGGCCAAAGCTAAGATATGGACTCTTAGACCTGAATTTTGGGTGCAAATTATCAGTAATAATGCCATGTGTCTGATAAGTACCATGTGGTTTACTGAGAACTTACAGGTAATCCCCACAACATCTCTGAACTGGGCAGGATTCCATCATGAGACATGTGAAATTCTTAAAAATAAAATTTATGCACCTCAAACAGAGAAACATTAAATACTAAGCATTTATAAAAACATCAACAGGTAGGAGAGCTGTGTGGAGATTTCTGGACCTACTAAACATAGAGCTTCCATATGATCCAGCAATTCCACTCCTAGGTATTTACCCAAAGGACACAGAAACATCAATTCCACAAAGAGCACCTGCACCCCTATGTTTATAGCAGCACTGTTTACAATAGCTAAGCTTTGGAAACAGCCCAAATGCCCAAAAATAGATGACTGGAATAAGAAGATGTGGTACATATACACAATGGAATATTACTCAGCATTCAAAAAAGATAAACACATGCAATTTGCAGCAACATGGATGGCGCTGGAAGGGATCATGCTCAGCGAAATAAGCCAGAAAGAAAAAGAAAAATACAGGATGGTCTCACTCATAGCAAGAATCTAGAAAACTTAAATAAGGGACCAGGAAAATGAATATAAGAAAGTGAAAATCAAAATCAACAAAAAACTATGAACCAGAGACACTTTTTGGGGGGCGGGAGGGGAAGGATTGGGGTCAGAATGGGGCGTTTGCAATTGTATGGGGGAATATAAAAATAAAATTTATTATTTAAAAAAAAAAATCAACAGGTAGCCAAGTACCCACCACCTTCATTTAAAAGGTGTTAGCATTTTCCATACTTGGCCCAGAATTTATATATAATGATATAATGGGCCCTTTCTCCCTTCTCACTTTCCCCTCTGAGATAACCCTATCCTGGGACTGAAATCATTATTCTCTTGTATTCTTTTTTACTTATAAAACAAATCTGTGTGCATATAGATTCATAATAAATATTTAGGCTTTGTGTAGTTAAGAAATACATGAGACCTCCCTGGTGGTGCAAGGGGTTAAGCACCACATTGTGAAGTAATCCGCAGCCTCTGCAGCACGAGTTTGATCCCCGGCAGGCCAGGAAGCAACCCACATGGCGAGGCAGACCTCTCCTGACTCGCCCGCTGCTCCCCTCAGCAGTGTATTTCAGTCAGCCTGCCTGTTCTGTTCCCCACTCTGTCTCTGGTGAATCCTCTCACCCCCTCCATCACTGGCCTGTACCCCAGTTCTTGTATGCATAAATAAATAAATCTTTATAAAAAAATAGATGAATGGTTGGCAGCTTGCTCTTTTTAATGCAACAGATTTTTTTTTAGAGATATATTTTATTTATTTATGCATACAAGAGCCAGAGGGTAGGCCAGAGGTGCTGGGGAGGGGGTGAGAGGATTCACTAGAGACAGCGGATTCACCAGAGACAGAGGATAGGCAGATCTACTGAAACACACTGCTGAGAGGAGCAGTGGGTCTGCTGTGCCATATGGTTTAGCTCGCCATTTGGGTTAGCAGGGGTTGAACTCATACTGCAGTGACTGTGGTGTATAGCTTCATAGTGCTGACACTTAACCCCTTGTGCCACCAGGGAGGCGCCTGTTGCTTTAATTTATATTTCCCTTACTCCCAATAGGCCCAGCATCTTTTCATGAATTTTGCCACTTGAGTTTCTGTTTTTGAGCTGGTTTACATCACTCACCCCTTTTTCCCTCCCTGTGGTGTTGCTTGTTTTTATCTTACTGATTTCTACACATTGTTTTAAATTCCACTTACTAAACATAAGTACATGACTTATGTTAATTGCAGGTATTTCCAGTTTGCTGCTTGTCTTTTTGAGTTTCTTTTTAATAATGCTTGTTTTTCATACTTCAATATGACCTAATTTATTGTTTTTTCTTATGGTTTGGTCTTTAATACATCTTGGATTCAATTTTATAAATTGTGTAAAATGGATCTTAGTTTGTCACTTTTTTTTAAAAGATTTATTTATTTATGCATACAAGAGCTGGGGTACAGGCCAGAGGTGTGGGGGGGAGTGGGGTAAGGTGAGAGGATTCACCAGATAAAGAGTGAGGAACAGACTAGGCAGACTGACTGAAATACACTGCTGAGGGGAGCAGCTGGCAAGCCAGGAGAGGTCTGCTGCGCCATCTGGTTAGCTCCCTGGCTGGGATCGAACTTGTGCTGCGGTGGCTGTGGATAGCTTCTTAAGTTGCGTCTTAACCCCATGCGCCACCAGGAAGGCCCCTTAGTTTGTCACTTTTCCATATGGATAATTAATTGCCCAGCACTATTTACTAATTAGTTTATTCTTTGTCTTTGTCACACTGATTATTAATCCTACCTCCATTACAAAACAAGGTCCCCTTTACTCATGTGTCTGTTTTAGGCTCTCTGTTCCAATGGTGTATTTGTCTACTTCTGAGCCAGTACCACATTGTTTTAATTATGATTTTATGATGCAGATAAGAAAGAGTATAGGTTCTCTAGGCAGAATGCCTAGGTAGAAATTCTGCCTCTCTCTCCTAATGTTGTTGTGCCTTTGAATTAGCTATTTAACCTGCCCATACCTTAAATTTCTTACCTGTAAGTAGATAATACCTGCATAATAGGATTGTTGAAGACTAAGTGTGATGAAACAGGGAACATGCCTAGAGCAGCACTGAAGTATGGGGATGATCAGCAAGTGCTTGCTGTGTAGTCTAGGCCTACTCTTACTATATAGCTTTTGAGTCTGCATATAGAAAAGGATCGCCTGTATTTTTGCTCTTTTTATTTCTTAAGATT